ACGACGACTTTTACAACCCGGCGTTCGCATCGAAAGGTGCGAGGGAGCACGCTTCACGGGAGCAGCACTTGCTCAGCCAGAACGTTCTTCGCAAATTTGGACCCGAGTACGCACAGAAGCGCACTCTGCAGAAATTGGGCATCGTACGGCGTGGACGACTTGGCATGGACTTGTTCTCCGGGTGGAGAGCTAGTTGCAGGAGCGCTACTAGTAGACCCGCAGCGTCGGCCTTGGCAGAGGTGGGCGTAGCGTTGTTATCGTCTTCCTGTCTTGACGAACCGGAACCGGACGAAACAAGGTGCCGGGCAGGTGAGTCGCGGGACCTTTTTTCGCTACCTGAATTACTGGAGTATGTTGATGATGTCACTTAAGTAGTAATATTATTAAGCTAGCTTGTCGCGGTGATAGGTAGCGTAAATTTGTGCCCGCATTTGAGGACGTTTTTTGCATAATCCATTGCCCGGAGTGCTGCGGGTCCGGAGCTGTGTATCGCCTTGAGCGGCATTTTGGGCGCCAGTCCGAAACGCCACGGCTGGCGATCGGTCACGTCCAGCCCCGCCCTCGGTTCTCCCACTGGAACGACGGCAAGTAGTATGCTTGTCCTTCGGTTGATCCGAGTGGGCCAGAGCACGTCTGTTTTTGCCATAATTGTGTAGAAATATCACCCAGATGCAAGCACTTCGCCCAAACAGGCCCCCAGCTCAAAATACCACGACAACCCCTCCACTAGCCCCCTAAATAAATAAGCACCGGGCCCGAGGCCACAGACATTGCCAAGAAGACTCCTGGCCCCGGCGCCCTGGGTTTGAGGGCGCAGGCGGCCTACCCACTGTTACTTGGGCCAAAATGGGAACCGAGGTTCACTATCTTTGTACCTGGAGAGAAATTTTTCAGCATTGTGATAACCTGAGTCGAGGACATGGCCAAACCTTGACCATCAGAAGGCTCAAACCCGTGACGATTTGTGACGGTCATATGAAAGGCTTTGGCCAAACATAAGAAGGGGTATAGAAATCGAGTGAAAGCGTTTTTTAGTTCCTGTACAAAATGCTTTCGCGATTTTTGGGCCTCAAAAAAATGCATTCAAGGGGGGGGGCATAAACTAGGGTCAAGGGCACACCCAGAGCAGAGATTATTTGGGCCTCCGGAAGGTCGAGATGATCACTGTCGGAGACCCAACGCCCCCGCTCCTCACACTAGTGAAAAGCACTCACTAAGCCGCGCCCCAGTACCTTGCTCCAACATGTTCTGCGTTTTGCAGCCCGTCTCGCGGTCGCATCTGTCTTCGTATTTGAAGGGCTTGCTGTCCTGCTTTGCGGCTGCCAGGCGCTTGGCAGCGCGATCCAGTCCGCCCCGCAAGGATTTGCGGCTTATTTTGCCCCCGGTCAAAATCCGCAGATCTTGTGCGAGTTGGGACCACTTGCGGCCCTTGTTGGCGTGCCCACTGTCCCTGTGGTGCATTCCAAATTGTGGAGCCGCTGCTAGTTCATGTGCGATCGACCAGGCAGAGCGCATCTCGCAATCGGCCTGGTCCGACGACAAGACGAACACGCGCGGCATTTCAGCTGCGCCGTCATTGACGGAGAGCGCTTTGCGGAAAAGCACATCGCCCGCGGAAGAGCACATCTGTCACAAAACGTCTCACATGCTATCTACTTTGCGCTAGCGATCACCGCGACAAGCTACATACTTTCACTCGCATTCTCATTCGTCACTATCAAGCTACATCTCAAAAAGAAGGAGCTAATAGGTCGGAGAATCCGGAGCCGCTTGTGGGGCCGCTAAGTCGGGCGACGCGGATGAGGACAGTCGGGCCGGATGCTGCAAAGGGGCCTCAAAAAAATTTAAATTTTGAAAGCGAAAGCGTTTTTCACTGTTGTAAGCGTTGTTATCATCTTCCTGTCTTGACGAACCGGATGAAACAAGAATTTTCGACGTTTGAAGAACCGGGTCACGCCAAAGGCGGGCAAGATGCTACCTCTCTCCTTCACACGGTCACGCCAAAGGCGGGCTAGTGTTTCTGGTATCTGGGAGGGTCACGCCAAAGGCGGGCAAGATGCTTCCTTTCGCTCCTAATTCCATACGCCGCCAGCCCTGTCCTCCATCCCAGGGCTGACTCATGGCTACAAGATAGAGGCAGCTCTCTTAATAGACATTTTATGGAATGCAAAGTAAAAAGTCTGTTCGTGCACGAAGTGCATCCCATTTGAGCGGTGCATTCGTTTCTACATCTGAGTGTGTCACTTATTTCACTTCCATTTCATTTTTCATTTTTGAGAGATTTTCCCATGCTTTCTGCTCAAAGAGCAGTGCGATTCTAGCTCTGAGAGACAATGACGATGCGCATTCATCCATGAGAGATAGTACGCATGAGAGATATGCATGAGAGAGTGCTCCACTTCTGAGAGATAGGTGCTTGCGCAAGCATTAGCATCTTTAGGCTCTTGATCTCTCAGCGAAGATTTATGCATGGCTGGAGCCGCGGATCATGATCGATCTGCACCCTGTCGGCAAACGGGGTGTAGGTTTAGGCCGGTGCTTAAGGCGTTGGTGAAGACGTTCACTACCAGCAGACCGCAAGAAACTAACAACGAAATCTTTGCTCTCCCCTCTTCTTCTTGTTCTGATTTCTTCTCTCTCCTGCTCGCTTTCTATGCTGCGTTCCTACTTTCAATCTCCTGTCTCTAAAACCGTTTGCAGGTTCCAAAATTCAAGATCGCAAGGCAAAAATGAGTTCCGTTATAGCTTTAGCAGTCAAGTACAAGTAGTAGTTAGTTTTGTTTACTTCAAAATGCAATACTGATGTTTTTCGATCTTCCTGTCTTGACGAACCGGATGAAACAAGAATTTTCGACGTCGGAAGCAACCTGCAGGACCAAGAAGTGGAGCAAAACTCAGCCTCCAGCCGCCTTCCAGCCGAGTCAATAAGGTCGCCCGATCTTGGTGTAGCCAGCAGCTACAGGAGTACCTCAAAGAAATACCACTTCGCTCTTCCTGCAGGCACAGGCCCTGTTCCGGCACGTGCAGGATGTTTTCTTTCGGAGTCGCATCAACCGTTTCACCTTCGCAGTTGACCAGCTCGCCTGGTTTCCGGGCTTTGCGCACGACAGCGGTTTCTGGGCCAGTGTATCCCCAACGGAGCAGTCCATGATTCGCCAGTTTCGCCGGGAGGGCTTCCTACAAATCGAGCACTGGGACTCCCTGCCGTGGCCGGACGGAGTAGACGCAGCCTCTTTGTTGGCAGAGCCACCCCCAGGACGCGAGGACTCTTCCGGGCGATCGGGTGACCTGAGCAGTGCCACGGCTGAAACTGCGGCCCCTTATCGGTGTATAAAGGAATCGCTTTGCTGTCGGGAAATTTTATCAAGTAGCATAATGCATGATCCAAGCGCGGTTTTCTGTAGAATAAGCATTCCATCGCCGTGTGAGCACTACATGTTTATTTTCGGTTTGTTGTTAATCTGGCAATGTCAGCATCGTCAGTGGATGAGCAAAGTTTGCACATTTTCCATTCTGAGAACGTCAAGCCGAAAAGAAAACTCGAAATGCAGGGACGATGGGGCAGACAGGTCTTCGCACGGGCAGGACGCTGCAGGTGTGCGGAGGAAAACACCAAGTTCGTCCGCCCCTTCTTCTACTTCGAACGCCACGGCCCGGCACATTTCCGGCATCCTGCCGCACCGCTACCTGGTAAACCAGTTGTTGGCGCAGCCCACGTCCCTGCTGCGCAAGCTGGTGCACGGGTATGTCGGCGATGTGGATGTTTCCTACCACGGAATCCAGTGCCACGAGCTGAAAGAGGATTGGGAGCCCTCCGACTACAACAACGGGGTCTGGCACCACGACGGGTGCGGCCGCCGGCTGAAGGCCTTCATCTACCTGGAGGATGTCCCGCTCACCAGTCGGCCGACGAAGCTGTTGCGGGGATCACACCGGCTGGACTGGTTTCCCGCGACTCACACTTTCGGCAACGCGGGCTATCTGAAAAACCTTGCGGACGGGGAAGTGGAAGCCGCTTTGGGAAAGGAAGACACTGTGCTGATGACGGGAAAAAAGTACGGAGGATTCATTTTCGACACCAACATGCTGCACGGTGCGCACATGCACGTGTTTCCGCGAAAAATCCGCAAAACCCGGCGAGTCTTCATCCTGGACTTTGCATTATGAAACTGCTGTAGGGACGGGCTCCGTGGACGAGTGATGGTTTGCGTGTGATTTCTGTAAGAAACAGGCTACGCTCGTGCGGGTTTTTGCTTCTACGGTTTCTGATGAATTTTCGTTGGGGTATATTGAGTTTGTGCCATTGATTTTGGATTTTTTTGTTCATGCAGCAAAGATCTCAATCGATCGGAACTTGTGCGCGCGATGTGGTATGGAATCAAGGATAGTCTCGCAAGTGGTGTAGTTCACGGAGCTCGGACTTTTGCCGTCGAGCGCAAGCGATGCGGCACATGAAGCAGCTTCCTCGAAGCGCGACGAGTGGCACTGCAGCAGCGCTGAAATTCCCGCATGATCCAGAATCTGGCGTAGTTGCAGACCTATGCCCGAGCGAGAACCACCCCGAGCGAGTGCGGTGGCACTACGGACATCAGACAGGCCGAGATCGCCTAAAACGAGTTCGCGAGGAGCTCCTGCATAGCAAGAAAGCCAGTCGGAAATCGATAAAACAAGCCGCGCAGATGCATTCCGACCTCGCTTTACCGGACTGCTACCGGCAGCGGCTTCCGCAGCACGAGTTACGTGTTCCTGCGAGTCTATTTTCGCGGCATGGGAAGCGTGAAAGTACGAGATGGGGCACTACAGATTTCAGCACCACCAGCGCGCCAGTCTCGGACGCAACGAAGGAAAGTTTAACTTTTTTCCTCCACAACGCAAAGTATACGAGTTCTGCATGGGAGGACAAGTGGCTGCGAGAAATCGCAGAGCTGGAAAGAAGTCGGGGAATTTGCGATGCCGTCCTTGCACCCGAGCACCGGCATGAGCTTGCGCATTTTCTTGTGATGACGGGCTGCGAGTATGAGCGGCACCGTGAGGACACTTTTTTCATCACGACGAGCGAAGACGAGCTTGTTGAGGCAGCTGCAGTGCTGTCATCCCTTTCGCGTGAGAGCCAGCAGCTCCTGGGTACAGATGCCGCCGCAGTTGTGGCGAATGCCGCAAAAGAAGTTGCGTTCTACCACGAGAATGCGGAGGAAAATGGGGAAGCCGCAGCATCCGAGCCTGTTAAAAGTGCAGGGCCCCATTATGCACACAATGCCCTCACAGTTCTTTCGGCAGCTGGCAAAACTCCTGGCGGGAGCGAGACCAAGTTGATCAAGAGCAGCACATTAGTCGACGGGTGGTGCTTCATCGAAGGAGCGCCTGCTGAGGAAAAGAAGATCAATCGAGGCACCACGGCTACGGATTCTGTAGTCGCATCTACTGCGCCGGATAGTGATAAAAATGGCCAAGAAGAAGTCGTCCCACGGCCCGGCTACTACTTCAATCCCTTCAGGTTTCGGCTTCGACGGAATCTTCCTCGAGAATTGAAAACACATGTGGCACGGCGACAACGTCCTGCGGCTCGCCGCACTGTCCATCACATGCACTATGACAACGCCGTCTTTTCGCACTTCGAGTACACGTACCGGAGCTGGGGCAAAGCGGGTTCGAGCCAGCCCGTCGGTTCATACACTTTTGTCCGGAAAGAGCCCATCGAGCCGCTGATCGGCCACTTGCGGCATCCATTGGCAGGCTGCGAAAGTCTTTTGCCAAATTTCGAAGATGGGAGTGAAACAGAAGCAGGCATAGATGCGGAGACTAGTAGTTACCAGAAAGGCGGAGCAGCCGGCATGGTCGAACCCGCTGCCAAACACACTGACATTTCTTCTACAAAAGGGGACCCTACTAGCGCCTCGTTCCCCGAGGCGTTTTTCGTCCAGGATCCGAGTTTTGTCTTGCCAGTTACTGCAGATTCCGTCCTGCTCCCGCGAAAAAACTCGTCAGCGGCCGCTGGTTTGAAACTGTATTTCGACTTTGGTGCTGGGCAGTACTCCGGCAACGTTTCTCGCACTTTCGCCTCGCTGGCGAGCACCTGGGAACGGAGCGGGAATTTTGAATTTGACGCCATGGAAGGTTGGGAGCCCGGCTGCGGTGACCACGACGCCACGTATGCCGCAGCGGCGAAAATTATAGAGCCGGAGTTGCATTCTGACCGCGAAAGAGCACCTCTCGCCTCATCGACTCCTTCTGTTCTTCCAGAATCGCACGAAATCGGCAGAATAAAAACGCAGCGGGGCGGAGAAGGCGTGGAAAAGAAAAACGATAAGAAATCCGACAAAAAACCTTGGTTGCTTGGGGGAAAGATGAAAGAACTCTTTCGAGACGATTTTCTCTCAAGTCTGCCACCGCACCTCCGCGATCGGATGGACATCGGCCTCACTTCGGTTGTGCTACACCAGTACCCGATTGCGCAGTTTCCCGAGCGCAGACATCAGTGGCTCCCTTCCCTGTTGCAAGCCAGAGGGCAGCAGCATCCCTACCGGGGAGGAGGCAGAAGGCAAGACTCCTCTGCTGGGCTAGAGACTTGGCAACTGCGTGGCGGCCCGTCGAGCTCTAGTCGGGCCTCGTACACGCTCCTGAAACTCGATGTGGACGCGACTGAAGTGGAGAATGCGTATCCTGTGCAAAAGTATCGTACTCGTATAAATGCAAATCTTGCATTACAAATCTTGTTCCCAAGGCAAATCCGCATTACAAATTTCATTTCTCATGCTGAGGAAATTTGTCATGCGATTTATACTAAGTAGTGCGATGCTTTTGCATTTCATAATGCGGTAATAGACGCGATTTTGGACCACGATCCGCTCGCGGAGGGTCAACCAGCCACGCCGGTGCTAGCGCAGGAGCTGCTGTGGGAACACCACGTGAACAGCTACATGATGAACCGGTACTGGCTCGAGACGGGCCGAAAATCAAAAGAAAACATCACTGATTCCTACAGGAAATTCTATCGCTTGAGAGCGGAAAAACTTATCCGAGCACACTCGTGGACATGATTTTTTTCGAAGTTTCTGATGAACTTCGAAGCAGTGGACGCACGAATAATTAATAAGCTGGTTGTTTGTGTTTGTCAACGTGTTTGGCGTTGATTGCATTTTTGATTCCAACAAGTCGAAATCGGACATCTTTCAACTCGCATTCTTACTATACAGCACGTATTCCGTGTCGGCGTCAGAGCATTGCAGTTGTTCACGCGATGTTCATGCCTTATCTCCCTGGATCGGGCAGGGTTTCGGTCCATCGGTGTCATGTTATATTATTTATCGCGAGAATATAGGCGATCAGGTCCCCTTCGTCTTCCTGGCATCGTGCGTGTCGCAATCTCGTCGGTAGTTTTTTTCAGGCTTAGAGTCGAACAGACACATTGCCATTTTTTTTCTGCAGGGGCAGGCGTTTTCATAATTTCCATAAGAGCGTTTTTTTTTTTCCGTAAGGCCAGCAGCAAACGAACGAGGAAGTTACGGCGCATACGGTAACATCAACAAGTATTGTATCTATTTGTGAATTGTGATTTGAGCGATTGTTTTTTGAGGTTTTCCGCGAAACAACAGGAACAAGTAAGTAGAGGCGATTTAGATTTAGACTTTCTCCCCTGCATACAAATCTATCTTGCTTACAAAGACATAGAAAAGGTCAAGGTGCACAACAAGATATTCCCTTTTTTTCCAAGAGAGGCAAATTTGTTGGCATCTTCTTTGAAAAAATGTGTTGAATTACAAGTATACCCCTGCCTAGTGTTGTACTTATCTATTCTCGTTCAACGAGTTTTGTTCAAGAACAGGTTGCACCGCTGCACTACTATTGAAATACAAAAGATTGTTCTTCAACAAGTGTATAGATCGCACCACCGACTTTTGTTCCTTTCCAAAACTTGAACTACCGAAAAAATGGATGTCAGTCCAAACGAAGGGACCGAGAGAACGGATTCCGGCTCTCGGTATGACCGGACAGTTTCTCGATGGACTGCGACACGGTACGGGAATTCTCTACCGGTGGAATAACACGCAATACATCGGCGAATGGCAATCCGGCAAGCAGCACGGAGTAGGGACTTTCCTCGAGAACGATGAAACCCAACACACCACCAGGTTGGAGTACGAAGGTCAGTGGTCGTTCGATAAGAAAGACGGAGAAGGAGCCGAGATTTTATCGGACGGTACGAAATACGTAGGAGAGTGGAAGGCGGGTAATAAGAACGGCCACGGGACCGAGACCCGTGCGAACGGAGACACCTTCGAGGGACAGTTCCAGGACGATCTGTTCAACGGCGAGGGGGTGCACACTTTTGCGGATGGGGACAAGTACTTCGGGCAGACACACATTAACAGTGACAATCTAAGGACATTTTGTGTCATGCAAAAACTGCATGACATCTTCCAGACCCAGACATTTTTGCAGTTGATACGCTGCTCTATCTCCCGCGAGCGCCCCCGTGGTGGCAATGGTGGCGGCGACGGTGGTATCCTGTGCAAAACTATCGTACTCGTACTAATCGCAGGCATGCATTACAAATTCTGTTCTCAATGTAAATCCGCACTACAAATTTAATTTCTCATGCTGAGGGAATTTGTCATGCATTTATACGAGTGCGATGCTTTTGCATTCCATAGGTGGCACCACTTTGTGGGTCGGTGGTTTGCCCGAATCCGTGCGGGAGGACGACGTGCGCGACGTTTTCAGCAAGTTCGGAAAGGTATAGTGATGTATTTTGGACTACACAAGGCTTTTTTAGCAATAGAAAAGGAGGAGCCCGCTATCCCGCTGCCGCATGACAAAGTTGAAGTGCGGGATACTTGTCTGGGACTTTCACAACTCATCTAATATGCGAAAGACAAATCATGGTGGGTGCAAGAACAGGAAAAAATCTGTGATTGCAGTCCGTGCATGATAAACTGTATTTCAGATGCATGGTTCCTTTCCATATCAAAAACTCCATATCACAGATCGTCGACGTGCGCATGAAGAACAGCGACGTTCGCAAGGGCCCCCCGTTTTGCTTCGTCGAGTTTACCGATCGTGGAGATTACGAAACAGAAATTGAGTCACAGTCATGCTGAACTAGAACTCGCACGGCAACAAGTTGAATGATTTTTGCAACTACTAGAGTAGTGCGGTTCATCAGCCTTTGATAGAAAAGACTTGTGTTGCAGGGGAGCAACTTGTATGGAATAGAGTGTATTGGTATTCAGTCTAAAAATTGTGTATTCCTTTCTTCAAAAAGACTGACTTGATTTTTTTGTAGTGCGAGTTCAGTACAACGACTTTGGTCTTTCTCAACCTTTCCATACCCGTGCGCAGGACGCTATCAAAGATCTGGATCAATCTCGTCCCTTCCGCAAGGACGACAAGATCACCGTGCAGTTCACTGCAGAGAAGGGCTCCAAGGGCAAGGGCAAGCGCCGGTACGACTCCCGGGACCGCGGCAGGGGCAAGGGCCGCTACGACTCTCGTGACCGCGGCCGCCGGCACAGCGGGGGGAAGGACCGCGACCGCAAGGGCATCTCGAGGGCCAAAGGTACTATGTACGAATGTGCTTTTTATTGTTCTTGAGGTTTTTCATCTGTATGACGAGGGATAATCGCGAATTTGTTTGTTCCGAGGAGGACAAATTTAAACCACTATGCTTCCCTCCGCATAATTACAAATTGAAATTCTAGGTGAGTTGTCGGAGGGCGCTTACAAGATCACGTTGGAAGGAATTCCGAACGACATGACCTGGACCGATATGGGATTCAAGAACACTTCCAGCTCTTGATCGTAGAATCAATGAGAGTTTGTGATGCAGAACCACATTGGCACTACCGCTAGCTTCACTCTCTACAACTGTGGTTTTATGCAACACAAATTCACAAATTCTGCGCTCGAGAAGCAAGAAATTTCTCATTTCCATACTCTAGTTGAAGGAAATGGGAAGGCAGCATGTGGGCGGGGACAGATACATGGATGTGACGTTTGCCCGCACCTTTCGCAACCGCCAGGGCACGGCCTGCGGCATTTTGGAGTTCAAGAGCAGGTATAGAGATGAATTCGACTTGATATAATTTCGGAGTTTTATCGCAAGAAAAAACTGTTTCACTGTAAACTTGTGATGCAGAATAAAATGGATCGCAGAAGTGTGTGTCATGCTACACATGCAAGACGTACTTCTTTATCTTTTCAGGTCTATGGCTCAGGATTTGGTGGACAAGTTGGATGACCGAAAGATTAAGGGCTGGGATGCTATCCGGAATTTTGCGGGGACCAGTTCGAGTCAAGTTGTCATGGGGGTAGTTTGTATTGCAAAATTTTGCATGATATCGGCGATGAACAGTTTCATCTATTAACTTTGCATCACAAGGAATTGTAAGAAGTATGCAGATTAGCAGGATCAGCTGGAAGATTGTTCTGCAAACCGGTATTTGGTCGAGGTTCTTTCTGCACCATTATAATTCTGATTTTGCAATTACAAAAAAAACATTTTCTTTGACCACTCGAAGTTCCTTTACACCTCGATAGCACAGCGTCTGCGGGTCAAGATGGGAGACCACTCTTGGGACTGAAAGGTGTCAGCGTCGGGCGGAAGCAAAACACCTAGAAATTGAATAAAGCGAACAACCAAACGGAAGGTACTACTCAAGCGGTAGACACACGACAAGAGGTGGATGCCAGCACCGTGCTTGTATCTGGTTCGAGCAAAAAATATGAGGCGTAGCTTTTACCTGTTAGTTTCACACGACCGGAAATGCATTTTTCGACGGATTTGCAATTTGAGTTTATCACGACGTGAAAGCGGAGTTTTTTTAGTATTTTGAACCTAATAAAAGTTGTAGTTAGGTCATCAGCTGTCCAACCAAAGCATTGTATGTTGCACTTGCATCGAAAGCGAAACGGAAGTCTGTACTTTTTCACACGACCAGCAGAAGGACGATCGGATAGTAGTTTATCCAAAAACAGAAACCGAAACACTTACAACTATCTTCACGAAGAAGAAGTAGTCTTCGTTTTCATCGTCTCACCTTGTAACGACGACATTTTTACCTGCGACACTGCCGGAAAAATTATTCCCAGAAAGTTTTTTCTATCCAACACAATGTACAACTCTTACTCACTGTATCTTTGTAATTTATCGATTTGTTGATGTTGGTGCACCACCAGATATTTATGAATATATGCTGCTTGACTTGTTTTGGCTGTTCTGCAACGCTGCAAGGCATCTGGCGGCACCGGATGTTAGCTATGGTAGGATCTCTGTCCTCTTGGGAAGATGCTCGACTAAGGACCGCTACTTTTGGTTCCCTCACCGCTCCTTCACGATGACAAAAAAATGCACCAGTAAAGTATTCCTTAGTGCAGCGGGAAGAGATTTCAGAAAAGCAACTGTGGTATTTTATGGTGCGAGAGCCAGAACAACGAGAACGAGGAGCACGACCAAGGCACTATCAGCGTCGCACCTGTTTGACGAGTTAAAGTTGCAACTTCCAGAGCGACTACCTCGCTTTTGTCGAAAGTGAGAAAGTTGCGTTGCACTTCTAGTAGCCGAGGCTCGTGCAGTTAGTTTGGCGAAAAATACGCAAGAGGCGGAGACGACGGGAAATACGATTCGGAGGCTTCTGGTGTATGCCAAAACTCCCTTCTAGAGGTCTTGTTTACTACCCTCCCAGGTGGTTTCAGGTAGAGAAATAATTATCATCCATTGTGCTCATAAATGATTTTTCTGTTCTCCAACGATCATATCGTCCCTGCACTCGCTGACCAAGCCTCAAAATCGATTCTGCAGCATGCAGGGCAATGGACCTTATGTCTGTGGCTTGCATTTGCTATACTGAGAAGTGTCACTGAATTGCAACTGGCTGCTAACCTGGCAGTGCGATTCCATCAGAGCCAAGGTCTTGAGTATTTTTAAGATGGTGCAGCAGTACCGGCTGGAGGCAGCTCATCCTGTCGTAGAAATGCCGCTTGAGACAATAGAGAAATGGCACTACTGCGAGGCTTTCTTCAACACAGTAGATGCAAATCGAAATAAATTCATTGCTTTTCACCGACTACACATGAACAAGCCAGTTCGACTCAATAGTGCTTGATGGTGTAATGCTCTGCTCCTTGTCGCAAACGAAACTCAAATTGAAATCGCTCTCATATAAAAATCTAATCGTGACAAAGTCGTTTTGTCAGTCTCAGATCGCCGCTCGTCGTGGCATCGTCTCACTGCTGTTGGTGATGCGCTTTATTTCCTCGTTTGATAAAAATTCGTTTTTCATCGCTTCAGGCACGGGCAGTTGTAGTCGCGGTAATATGGCGACCATTTTTTCAGTACATAGATATACCCCTAGATGATTCTATGGAACTGCCTTTGAACGGCAACGTTTCTGGTATAGTGTATGATGACTGGTGGCACTTGGAAGTTTTTCTGTCAACATATGTAGTGCTCCTGAGAATTGTCAATCACAAAGGCAGCACGTTACTATCATATCCCAGTTTCATGAGTCGCAAAAGAATATTTTTGTAGATAACTAAGTAACAGCACTTTCGACCGGTTTCAGTTTCACACGACTAGAACTTTATACACAATTCTGCGACTAGTTTTAATCTTTAGACAGGAGTTTTGCACAGTGGAACGCACACGGATGGACATTTTTCTGCCAAACCCGAGAGAAGATTTTCGCACGGGCAAGTTTATCGACGTTTCTGAAAGCCTCAGAAGCTCGTAATCCCTGGTGGAGGTCCGAAGGACACAAATAAAAGTGGGAGAGTGCATCAGGGACGAGCAGCTTTCTGAATGAGGTCCAGATTGTGCCGCATGCATTATTGGCCCTTGTTCCCCGGAATAAAGAGTTTCTTGGTACTACATTGTTTCGAGTAAAACAAGTTGTAAATAAATATCGGCGCGACAACTACTATATCGACAGGCGGAGCAGTATCACCTGTTTATTACCTCGAACCAGTGACTGTGACTGCTCCTCCTGTGGTGCGACGACCTCTAGATAATTTACCCTATGGGCGGCGACCGGCACAGCTACCATTTTGAGCACAAAGACAATCCCCCACGACCCGTGATTCCATCTGGCCGACGTAATTTTCACCCTCACGACCATCCAGATCAGGGTAGGGCTACTAATGCCGCCGGCCGCGACTTAGCAGAGCCAGGCAATAATATTAGACGCTTCGAAAAGAACAATGCGCGCTTCGTCCAAGAAGAGCACGATGTCCCAAGCTACCCCGTACCCGTCGCCCCAGTTCCCACCCAAGCAACGTCGGCGTTGCATACTGCGACCACGTTCGACTTCGAGGCTAAAGTTTTTCATGCACAGACCGGAAATAGAAATGCACATGCAGGAGCCGGCGTGGGACAACAAGGACAAGGAGAAGGTGTTCGAGATGAACAGGCTGCCTACGTCGAGTGGCAAGGTGCACGGGAGGAGCAGGACGATCTGCCACAAGAACGGGGAAATGTTCTTGTGCCACGCGACCCTCGCGGTCGTGAACGAAACGCGACCTTCTCCTACGACGGCGTAGAAGTGAGCACCACCTTGTCCGCCGGCAATCATGGAAGCTCCTACTATCAGGAGCAAAACGACGCCAGGAGGCCGGCGGCGACGAGTACGATTGAGGACGATGTGATAAGCAGGAACGCGGCTGCCGCTGCGCGGCCCGGCCGCGGCCATGTTGATATCCGGCCGTCGACACGAGACGACTTTTCGTCGACGGGCTACAATCCGAACAGAGAAACCGAGAGCTGTTATTCCTCGGCTCCGAGGGTGAGAAATGACCTTGCAGGCCTTACTGACGCCTATCGCGAAAAAAAACGCAACTCCAGCACAGTCAGTGTCAGAGGGCGGCTGGAAAACAGAGAAACCAGTTTCGATAGCAATGCCGACTGCGAAAATGGCACAGCGGGAGCGCCGGCACCGCAAGAACGATATCAGCGAAATGCTGTCGAGAACGACCAGCGTCAAGGACTCCAAGATTTTGTCTACCAGGCGGACCTGCCAAAGGTGGCTGTTGTGGATACATCAAACGGTGACCGCAAGCAGGGAGTGGGTTTCACGATTGAGGACCCTGAATACAACCGAGAACAGCGAGGTGCGAAGCCAATGCTCCACCAGAATCAGCAAGAAGCCCAAGGAGAGCCCGTTGCCCAAGACGGACACCAGAAAGAAGCGTATGGTCAGCATGGTCTTCAAACAAAGAGAAAAAATCCCCGCGACACTACTAGCTCTGGATTGAGGTGCAGCGACAAGGCCGAAACCCTCCACGCCCCCGTCGTTCCGGACTCCACACCGATTGCACCCCGGCGCGCAGAAAAGATTGACGCTTCTCCCTCGCCTAATGGCAAGCTCCACATGGGCAACGACCCCCGGGATCATGATTGTGGACCCAGCGACAATCTCCCTGATGTGTGTCCTGGAATAAATAAAGTGGCGAATCTTTCATCTCCGGAGCCTCTTCTTTCCACCTCCGTGGCCAGCATCCCCGTCTACGGGCGCCACAGCGCCCCTTTTCTCAACTCCCCAAGCGACCTGCCCGAGTATTTCAACGACGAGGACTGCCGGACTTCGTACCAAGAAAACGATTCGCTACTCTCCACGTTTGCCTTCATTCAGCGCAAAAACATCAACGTGACCGCCACCGCCCGCGTTGGCCCAGGCATGGTCATCTGCATGGGCGAAGAGGTGGTTGACAACCATCACGTGGACTTCAACAAGCCGACTTTATTGCTCGAAGTTGTGCAGCGGATCGGCAAGGGCGGATCCGCGGAAGTGTTTGAGTGCGTGGATTTGCGAACTTGTGTGGTAGACGGAGGCTCAAGTACTACGGCGTCGGGAAGTGGTCGTGGCAACAATTATAGCTGCAATCGTGACGCGTCGCGAAGTGGTGGCATTGGAAGCAGCGGCAACGGTCGCGACAGGGAGATGAACGCTTCTCAGTTATTCGCCACCCGATACGCGTTGAAAGTCGTGTACGCACGGGACGCGCGGCAAATGCGTTCGTTTGCCATGGAGGTAAACTGGCTGCGGGCTTTACGGGATAAAAATCGCAATGGCAATGCTGGCCACAACGCAGACGAGCTGCGGGTAGTGAAGATGATCGGGGAAGCGAAATTTTTTCCGAAAGACCTGGTGATCCACATTTTGCTGGAATTCGCGGACTGTGGTATGAGAGGGAATTGTAATTGTTTGTGTTGGTTTGTTTGAATCATATGTATTTTTGTGATGCGGAATGAAACGCAGTGGGGGAAGCTTACTCCTAATTTCTCATGCGAGTGAACCCGCAGGCGGAACTGGATGTAATTTTCAATTATCAATTTTTGTACCGCATCTGCACTACAACTCGAACTGGTTCAGCAACTGAAGCACTTTCTTTCCCCTCCCATACCCAATCTTCATTCCTTCCTCCGGAAAAACTACGAAATTTTCTCCATTTACGACATCCGCAACCTCTGGCGCGACATGGTCGCGGGCGTCGCGGCGATTCACAGCCTCGGGTTGATCCACTTTGATCTCAAACCCGCGAATTTCCTCATCGTGGACAACATCGTGAAGGTCTCTGATTTCGGCCTCGCGAGAGGCATCAATAAAGATGAAGGAATCACCCACGTCTCCCGGGATCGCCAGTGCGGCACGCCGCGCTACATGCCGCCCGAGGCGTTCTACCAGCCGGATGAGGGATCGGCGAGTTTGAAGATGCGACCGGCTGCCGATGTTTGGGCGTTGGGGATCATCCTCTACCAGTTATTGTACGGTCGAGCGCCGTGCGAGCATTTAGAGGGGTGCGGGATGCGGGCGCAGTTCGCCGTGGCGGATTCCCGGGTCCGGATTCTGTACTCGAAATCCCGGCGGTGGGAGCAGCAAGACGCGCAGTTGTTCGGCCATCTGGTGTCTTTACTGCAGGTCACACTGCGGTGGCGTTGGGAAAGACGGTGGGACGCGCAGACGGTGTTGAAGTATTTGGAAATGGGAAATGAGCAGAATGATGCGAGTTTGCAGCCCTGCCAAGGGACCACCAAGACCCGGAAGAGTCAAAAGCTGCTGAAAATGCCGAAAAATCTGGTCAATGAAGAGGACATGAAGGGAAAAGCGACGAAATGGGAAGGCCATCGGCTGTCGGACATTCACGAAGAAGAATTTATCGAGCAGACGTCGTTACCGCTGCTAGCGAAACAAGAAATGAACTATTCCTACAACTCGACATTCGGTGCTACGGACGCGGAGAAAGCGGAGCTATTGGCACGACGACAGGACGGACTTGAACACTTCCAGGATGGTCGCGGCGGCGCTACGGCGGGGCAAATCGAGAAGGGAATGCTTGAGACGGGTAGTGAAGAAAAGAAAATGAGAAGCGTCAACGTCCGAGAGGTTGGACTTGGAAATGAAGCAGCAGAAGAACACGAGCCAGAGTTGGCATCATCCTCAGAGGAAGAGCAAGAGAAGATGGATGAAAAGGCTGAGAAAGCTGCGGCATTGATGTCGCAACAGCAGCAGGTCGCGCAAGGAGCCGCTGCCGAAGGTTTTGCTTCGGAAAACAACACAACAGCATCGCTAACTTCTGCAACACAAACTTTCGACAACGAGGACGAGCAGCGAAACACGACACCAAGTGTTGCACGTGACGAAAATGAGGACCCGTTTCAAGAAGACAAATTTCATTCCATGACAGCAGATCCCTCCTCATCATCGACATCTTCCGCATCATCTCCTTGCGCCGCTTTCCTGGCCTCATCGCTCTCAACCATCATCATCACCATCATCGCTGTTTGTCTCCTCGCGGGCGCTACTGGCTTGGCAGTTCATATGGGCAACGTGAGCGAGGGGAGCAAACAGAAAGCAGAGCTGGGATCTTCAGGAGACGGTGATGCTTATCCGTTTGGCGGCTTCGGCGGCGGGCACAAGCCGAACATTTTAGTCCCGACGAGAATCTTCAACGGGGATGGAGGCGGTGGTGGTGGTGGCGGCGGTTCACCTAAAGGGACCTCCAGCGGTCGTCCACCAACAGGTCGAGGAAATGATGGTCAGGGCGGGAACGCTGGAACAACAGCTCCTTTGCAGCAACCAGTTCCTCCTGCGAGTTCTTCATCGGGCTTGTTGAGCCTCTTCCCCCCGGGACCTGTTTCCCGACCAGAGTTTCTAGCACCGGCGAAACCAAAGCCAAAACCTGCAGCACCGACGGGTGGTGCGGCAGCGCCAAAACCGGCACCGGTCGCTTCCGCTTCTGCTACACCGGTTGCAGCTTCTGCTGCACAGGTTGCAGCTGCTGCTTCCGCCAGCCCACCAACAGTGCTTCCCGCTGCGACGGTGCCGGCTCAGCCGGCAGTTGCTGTTCAACCGAATGCGGCAATTCCATCAACTGCAACTTTTGACCCGGAGGCGCAAGAAGGTCAAGCAGAAGCTCATGCAGATTCAGTATCGGCCGCCCCGTCTCCGTCGTCATCTCCTCTGGATGAAAGTGATCGTGCAGATGAAGTCGCAAGTGCTCCAGCAGCACAAGAAACGACGATCAGTGAAGATGAAAACCAGTCGGCGCAGGAACAGGCACACCAAGAAAGCCAAGAAGGAATACAGACTGGAACTAATGATCGTCAGGCGCAAGAAGTAGAAGAAGCACAAGCAGCCCAACAGGAGGAACAGCAAGGCGAAGGACCGCGAAGTGGAACGCAAGCAGACGGTGGTAATAGTACTGACCACTCTTCCTCCACTGGAGATATCGGTTTGGGAACAAGTGCTGCAGCTTCAGCGGGGAATACCGGCAACAGCGATCCTGATCATGCAACGTCGAATCCGAGTCACGACAGCGGTGTGGGACGTCAGCCACCAGCTGCTTCAGGCACAGGAGACGTCGAGCGAGAACGGACGCCGGAACCAAACGGCGACGGTATTGAAACTCGTGGATCTTCCACTTCCGGTGTCGCCTCAGATCTGAATTCACCAGGAAGAAGTTCTGGGACAGAACCGACTGGCGAAAACCAGCAACCGCAGCATTTTACAACAAGTACGGGAACGGCAGACACCGATCGGACAAATAAGACGACATTTGCGCAGGGCCACAGCACTCCAACTTCCGGAAGTACTGCTTCCGGTGGAGGCAGCGCCTCTTCAACTTTCTTTTCCACCGAAGCCGACGGCACAAATCATGATTTACGGCGTGCGGACGCACTGTCCGCAGGCGAAACTCTGCCTATGGGTGCTGCCGCTGGAAGCGGATCATTAGATACTGGCGAATCTCATGCTCCCCCGGTGGCTGTGGGAGATGCAGCCAGCGGCTGTCCCCCGGGAGGGCGAGAAGATGCAGAGGCTTTGCGGACGTCTGCTGATCCAAGTTGCCCGCTCCGCCCGAGCTCGCGCTCGCCGCCCGGAAGTGTCCGTCGTGGGGGTAGTTCGGACGCTGGATCGAGCGGTCGGTCCGCTCGCGGAAGGGGACGGAGGGGGCGATCTAGCTCGGTTGGTTCTACTAGTTCGAAATCATCTGACAGCGATTCAGACTCAGAATCCGATTCCGACAGCACGGAAAGGCGACCAACAGGCCCAGGAGGTGGCTCGCCGCCGCCGACTCCGAGGCCCGGCGGGAGTTCGTCCAGCACTGCAGTATGGCGGCCGAGAGGCAAAGCAGCTGCAGCAGAGCCACTTGTCCCGGAGGTGGCCCCAGAACCAGTTTCGGAGGCAGACCTCGCAGCGCTGAAAACCAGGCAGGAGGAGGGGCAAAGCTGCGAAAGCCTGTTTTTGAAGGTTTTGGCTGAATTTTTGGCTGAACTACAGATGGGCGACAAGAAGCCAAAGGATTTCTGGAACCCAGAAATAGATGACGGCAGGGACTACCTGCAAGAAGCAAGAGATCAATTCGCAGCAGCCGGCGGACACCTAGGGCAGACAACTGCACTTGATCCGGACATTTGGACGGTACTTATTCTTGGTCTCTTATTCTTTTATTCGCAAATTTGTAATTTTTGTTCATTTTGTTTTGTCACCGGTTTACAAAAAAAAGGACAATGCAGTGAAAGTCGACAAAGCAAGCAAGACGGCTCGTATTGATCCCCAGCTATGTTTCTTTGTAGTCGATGCTCCATCAACTTCGGAGCGGGCATTTTTTGGTGTCATAGTACTTGGAGATCATGTTTATTTCGCTTTGCTTCCTAGACACACTTCCTTTCCTTTGCACTTCCAGGTTGCAACGATTATGACCATGATGCCACACTGTTATGGAAATTTTCGTGCCTTCGATTTGCGAGCCATGAATAGTTGGCCATGGTTGGAGATTGATGTTTACGAAACAAACCGGTTGCAGACGACCCAGTGCCTGCCTGCAGAAGACGAGCCCTTTTTCAAACACGTGTTAAACTTTTTTCACGAACGAATTCCAAGCACCACGAACTCTGCGTCCACATCTCTCGTAGTCTGGGAACACCCTTTGATTTTGGTTCCGGAGCGTCTTGAACCGGACGGGCGAGGCGGGTGGACTCCCATTTCTGCCAACGTCTCCGAGTCTGGTCGTGTGATTCATGAGGAGCGATGCCGCATCGGAATGGCTACGGAATATCTTTTCCAAGCTCAAAATTGCGTTCACGAATTTGGACCCACGAATTTTGACGACCTACCATATGGTACTTGTGATCATCTCGCATTTCACTCAAACATGGTTCTGTTTCACATTCATTGATGATATGGCGTATATCTAGCGAGGAAAAGTTACGTGGCATTTAACATCCTCAGGTTATTGCCTTGATACGGGTCCTCGAGAGAAACTGAATCTAGATGAGAAGCCTGAACACTGGCCAGAGAAGGCGATTGCCGAAGAGCAGACGCGGCACAGCAAAGGCAGCACTGAACCTTTGGTGCACCCGAAGTGGCACGAGACGTTTCGCGCAGAGTTTTATCGGCGGGCATCCTTTTGGAGACGTGGATCGACAGGATCGGGGGCAAAGTGGAGCTACATACATTTTCGGTGGAATTGGATCAAGGCTCGATTAAAGTCTCACCGGGATCAAAATAACAACAGAATAGATTGGAAATTTGCTACCGATTCGTTTGTCTACAAGACGGACTCCTTCTGTCCAACAGATGAATCAGTGCGGGCGGAGTTTGCATCCCTTCAACAAAAGATTCCCTTCGCCTAGGGGTTTATACACTGTGCGCAGACCATCGCAATCGATGAGCAGACCACTGATTCGTGATAAGAACTTGAAGATAGGTCTCGTGGCGCAGCCCACAACTTAGTCGCCCGTTTTGCCATCGAGTTCCTTTTTTGATTGCATGGCGATTCGGAGCTAAAAATGATGCAGCGATGTGCATTTTCGATACGCGGATCTACATCTAGTTCTAGAAAGAACCAGCAAGAAGAAAGATTTAGTTTCATTTTCGACTTGAGATGGATCCATTAATTTGTACCAGAGCATCGAGTCAGCTGTCCGGTTAAGTACCGTAACCAAGGAAAGAGCGCTGGTTTTTTGCGGTTGATCATTTTCTGCTGTGTTAGCGAGAATATTGATTTGAAGATGATGAAATTGGGTTTCTGGCTGGATTGGCTTCTCTGCTCCCCCACCGGCTACTATTCTGGGTTCGACTATCTATTCATTAAAGCCAGTATCTTCTAGTCATTATCATTTTGATGTATTTGTTGTTTTGCTCCTTTGCTTATGTTTATGACGGCCAGCTACAACGCAAACACTTTACTTCAATTTTTACAGGCAGGCATGGGCTAACCGTTGGTGTAATTTTTTTGTTCACTTGGTTACTGTTGTAAGCTTTTTGATATGTAGTTTTGGAATTTGAAATGTGTCAACTATTTCATTGCCCCGTAGCAAATCCCCTCATTTCTAGAATTTGTAAGATACGGATATTTTGATTTTCATTCTCTTCCTGTCATATGACTGCGGATTGACGGCATTGTGAAGTCATGTTGTGCATCACGAAAGCAAAATTGTATTTCGGTATTTAATTTTTTATTGGAAGGACGACGTTTCTTCTTATGTCATTCATGATCTTTCGCGAGTGCAGAGCCTATTAGTGGCAGAGAATCAAAGCAGGATGGTGCTAAGGCGACTGCGAAGGTCGGGCATTGTGCTTCGCTTTCTTTTCGCGAACAGCTTCTTCGATGTCGGCTGGACGGTGAACAGCATTGTTGGTCATGGAAAAGTGCAGGATCACCGTGATCTCGTCGGAAAAGTACAGGCACAAGAGCAGCAGGCAGGCACCGGAGAACAAGATAGTATTTGTGGCAAGAAACATAAACATTCCAAGGAAAAGGACGACTGGCATTGCGGCAGCAATAATTCTCAACAGACTTGCGATGGAGCCATCCCAGCTGCAGCGGTAGGTGAATGCGAAGCTGTGATGTCAAGCCAGAGATGCCAGAGCGCTGTGAAAAGCAAAACTGTACCTGAAAGTCGCCTATGTACAGGAGGTATATCTACTTTAAGTACGGTACGATTTTTGGGTTCTAGATCCCGAGCTCGAGCGCGACTCTACACGTGACAATCATAGACAATCGAATCACGCGTGTGCATCATGAAAGTGCCGCACGTGAGAAAAGTTGTAGGACTTCCTCTCAATGAAAATAATTCAGGTTCGTGTTTTCCGTTCTTCGCGGCAGCGCTACGGGATTGGCGTACTGGAACGGAGCGGCAGGTTAGGTTGGATAAAACCCAATCCTCTGTTGATGGGGCCATGCGTGACTTCACGACTGCCGAAAAGAATCCGACAGGGCGCAAGGCCGCTGGTAGCCAGACAAGTCCGGACGCGAGATCAGGGCGGAGTACCCGAGCTCCACCAGCGGGAAGACAAAATTTGCCGCGAGAACAATTAGCGCCAGCTCCTCAAGAAGCCATTGCTCCAGCTCTGCCGGTCGGTGACCAAGCAGACGAAGACTTGCTCAGCAAAATCATGGGCGCGGAAGCGGGCCTCATGTTCTCCGGTGAGAAAAAACTGCTCAACGAAAACCAAGGGGTTTTGAGTTTCCTTTCCGCCCAAGACGTCGGAAAGCTGTTGCAGTCCACTAAGGCCGGCTTCGGTGGAAAAGTTGCTGTTGCAGCCCATGCGCAGCACCACAGTGACACTGCCATGGAGAGCCGTACAGAAAGCTGTGAGGATCTCTTTCTTGAGGTCTTGCGCGAACGGATTGGAGCAAAGCGACCCGAGGATTATTGGAATAGGCAGATAGACATGGGGGTCGATTACCTTGAACATTTTCTCTCCCAGATGCATCGCGACCGAAATGCATGGAAACTTCATCCACCGCAGAGAATCACGTCGCCAGGGGAAAAACCAGAGCATGATTGGACCGTACTTTATAATATATACTTCATAAACTTCCTTGTTCTGTAGTGCCTCTTTTTGTCAGCATTTAATCGCATTTGATTTGCCGTGTGGCTGTGTTTTCGTTCTTGGCAACGCCAGCGGTATCTTACTCGAAAAGTCTTGCCCGATGACTAGCTACTGGTTAGAAGATTTGACAAACTCTGATGTTGAAAAAGATCAGTCATTTTTTCGCACTACTAGGTTTACCTGTTGATGACGATGGCGTCAGAAACATGTGGGCTCGCAGCACCACATCAGCGCGCGGATAGCACCAACAAGTGGCTCCTGTACAACTCAAAAGCTCTGGCCACGGGTTGTCACAGAAACGATCGAGCTTTCTTCCGCGAAGTCCTAGATTTTTTTCACGAGGATGTGCCGGAGCAGAGAAGGTCTTTTATGACGAGGCTTCTCAAACGAGACACGCAGTCAAAGGTAGTGATCTGGAATCCGCCTAAAACCAATTCTTTTTCTCGGCAGCGTGCCGGCGGCGGTCCACCTGTACGGCTAGTGGACATGTCTCTGAACCCGAATCAAAAGGCCTTGGATGAGAGGTGTCGGCTCGGGATGGCGACCGAATTTCTTTTCCAAAAACCCAGCCAAGTATACGGACGCTATTTCCCGGTTCGATTGGGTTATTGCTTGAACACATCCGCGGATCTGTCAGATGACAATGGTGCGAGGCCATGGATCAACTTTTTTCATCGTGATCCTTTACCGCTTGACGCGCAATATTACACTGCGTTTCGGAAGATGTTCCGGAAGATAGCGCAGAAGTGGCGGACCGATTCTGATGGCTCGGACCTTCGCTGGTCGTACGATCAGCTGCAGTGGGACTGGCGGAGCTTTCATGGGAAACGGTTGAAACACACGCGTGAGTATCGGGGAAAGCATCCAAGCCTGCCCGTGCCGGTGATGTTAGCCGACAGGCCTTCAGAGTTTCTCGTCCAGGTTCCAACAAAAATCCAGGATGCCGTGTAGCGGATTATGTATGTAAGTCTTATCCTGAAGACCTTTTGCGGAAAAAGTAGCGGACTGATTTAATCATCAACGCCACCAGACCACATGATGAAGCACACTTTATATGATAAGGTTGTACGGAATTGAGATGATTCTCATACCATTATCACGTTGTCGCGCACGTAATTCGTTAGGCTTATCGTTCTGATGTGCCCGAGCCAAGTGTCGAACAACAGGAATCAAGTATTTTCCGCAATCCTTTTTCTGTACGTGCACGTCGTCGTGGATGTGCCTCTAAGCAAAGAAAGTGCTTCTAATAAACATGTCTTCGTCATCCACTTAGTTACAACTTTGAGTACGAATGTGCTGTATGTATGATGGCTACTTGACCTTTAAGCAGAAATACACTTTGTGTGACGTGTTGTTTTGTTGTTGATATATTTTTATGATTTTCAGACGTATGCTATATTTCTATTTGTAAAATAAAAATGCAGAGACAAAATATTCATTCCATAATTTGATTGTATGATCGTAACATCTGGATCTGGCGGTAGCAAGCTCATGCTTGTGGTTGTGGGCAACAGCCGCAGCAGGTCCGGCGAAGACGTCGAAGGCAGACCTATCTGATCTTTTTATGTTATTGTAGTGTGTTGCTACAAGAAAGGAGGATGAGAAATTACGACCAGGGGCACGACAATTGCCAAGAGAACATTGCTTCAGCATTACTGTGTACTATTGCGGACCGTGGACGACATATTCAGCTCTATTCCCGATTCAAAAAAAAAAAATTGGAGACGCGTTCATCTGTTGAATACGCGTCGAGTTTCCATGAAGCCGGCCAGCAGAGTCGCACAGCGGAGCCAACGAGGCAGCTCGTAAATGAAATATCGCGGCTGACGGCCCACGATAAAGATCAGTGAGCGTTAGAAGAAAAACTACTTTACGAGAGAGCTTGTCCGTCTAAGTTTCTTTTGCTTGCTCATGAGTAATGCGACAAAGGCAAAGCTTATTGGGACGAGATAAATAAGAATCATCTACTTGATCTGAATCTAGTGCAAACCGCGAAAAAGTGCGCCTCAAGATGATAATCAGAAAATGTGGATCAAGAACAAGATCAACAACTGAAAATCGTGCCCGTCGTGTTGCCATTGTGAGCTCAAATTTGTTTGCCTCTCTGCTCGATTCCGTGGTATTTTCGTTCTCGGTAAGAAAATGGTTGGTCCACTCTTCTGGCAAAAATGAAAATGGAACATCACATAAGAATAAGAATCTTATAATTATGTGAATTTTAATCGAACTCAATGTATGAAAATTGTTGTTGAAACGCGTATTATTCGCAAGAGTTTTTGGCTTTGGTATAGGCTTGCATTGAAAATGAAGCGGCACGCGATCAATAAAGATAACTTCTTGTTTGGCATTTAATTGACATGCAATGAATGAGCCAGGATTTTCGATGTAGCTCTTGTCGTTTTTTGTCTTGGCAGACGCAGCTACGACAAGTCGGCATTCTTCCATGGTTTTCATTTCCCACTTTGTCATTGATACATAGTTTTATTTTTCAGCTGAAAACGAACCAACTTGAACTTACGTGTTGCCCGTAAAGCCATCCTTTTCATTTATTATTGCTTTTCACGATTTGTCGAATTCGAATATCAATCGGTCGGGGAAACGGTTTCCTGTATAACGAAGCAAGACCACGTCGCATCCGCATAATGCCTGCTTTCAACTTTGGGAGGCACGTACGGGGTACGTTTGGAGGCGTGCGCCGTATGCTTGTCATCACATTGGCCGCGTTGGTGGCGCAGCCTGTCTATGGTGCGTCAGGGTCCAGTTCCAGTGGCGCTGGGGTTTGTTTCGGTAACCAATCAACATGGCAAAACCTTCTCGCGGGCAAGCGGAAGTGTGGCTGCGCAGACTGTGAGGCTTTTTTGGAAATCTTGGATTCCGTGAAGAGCGACTCGCTGAGTTCGCTTGTGGGTCAACGAGTTGCGGAGGAAATTATGTACGACGCATCACAGCTCGTGGGAGACCAGTTGGCAGCGCTAAGAGTCGAAAATAGCAAATTACGTCAGTGGAAAAATTCGCTCGATCTGGATCCACTGAATGTGGTGACGTCTATCCTCGATAGCTCAATTTCGAGACACAGCGACGGCACGTTCGACCGGAACATGCAGTGGCGGGGTGTACTTCAGAAGTGCCATCAAATAATATTTTCGGACTACGATCCCAAGGACGGAGTATACGTCGAACATCAACAGCTGCTACTGGTGGAAGACTGCCTGCGTAAGTCAATATTTATTCTATTTGCAATGCAATTAAGTCTTCTTTACTTATTTTCCTTCTGATTTTTCTTATTTTTTTTGGCGAGCTTCAAAAGCCGAAGTTTCGAGGCCCCCTGGATTTTTCAGTCGATAAGAACATAATTATCGAGAGTCGCGCTTTTTCTCTTTGAGGCGATCAACGTATAGCTCTTCGAACCCATCGCGGCATTCCCATCACTTCATCTCAGATCGTGGCTTGAAAAGTTCAAGTGGTGACTTCGCGGAGTGGAAGACGGAGGCGTTGCTCGAAATATTGCCTGGTGATAACGAAGAAAAGGTGTACGAGAAAAAACGGGAGCGGTACTGTCGCTCAATGCATGTCATGTACGTCAGCACTCGTGGTTCTACCTCAAATGAAGACTTTGATGGGCGGCGGGATGAACTTGGCCAGAGGGGTCGTGGAAGAGATTTCCGCGATAGAGATGCCATTAAGGAGCACTATTCCCTTGCACAGCGCGCCTGTCGTCCTCCCAGCAGCAAACCCACAAGAAGTATTTCTAGAACGTAATGATGTGTCGACGATTGATGGTGTGTTATTATCTACAAACATTAACAAAAGCGATATCTTCGATACTTTGACGAAATGAGAAGAGCGATCGCTTCGGAAGCAAATGCTCCTGCTGGTCAGAAGAAGAATCGCAGTGGCAACTTCTGCTGACAGTGTGCTTCTTATCTTGCTGCTGCTCCGGATGCCGTTGTCGACGACCACGACACTGCCGTCCTTCGCGTTCGAATATTGGATTTTCACCATGCTGAACAAACATTGATTACTACAGGAGAGCGGCATGATGCTCAACGGGACCAGGAGGCGAAGGTTGTTTACATTGAACTTGCGGCGACACTACCTGATGCTCGGCAGAGCCCGTATGTGTTCGCCAAGGACTTTCCGGCTCACCCGGATGTCCTATACCGCGACCTTCGAACACCAGTTCAAGCTGCAATGAGCGCGTACATGGAGCATCGCGATAGGGTCGGTGGTAGGGCGCTTCCGGCTGGGCAGTTGACAGGACTGGAGTTCGAATTGCGCCAGAGGCAGGGCGGGTCCGATTCACTGCATGTTACGCCGCCTGTGTCGCATTTCTTTCAGCCGCGCAAGGCAGCTGATGGAAGAATGAGACTCGCGGGTATCATTTGCAGCGGCGCGACCAGCCTTGCGCGCGTTGTGCATGAACACCTTGGCGGACTGCTGAGAGGTTTGCTACCTCCACCTCGGGCTACAGCAGTCGTACCTCCGGCAGCCGCTGGCGCTGATGCATATTTCATGCGAGCGGGTGTGCTTTTGGACGACGGTGCAACTACTCGGAGGCGATTCAGAGGTGCGATTTTGTCGTGCTACAGAATATACCTCTCTGAGTCTATTTTTTGTCATATGAATATACGTGCGGAAACAACGGAAAAATGAAAATCTTTGAGTTTGAAGTCTTGATCCTGTTCGATGTTGAATTTTTTGCAACACTGGGTAAGTGACCAGAGAAAATTTTTGATGTGTGCGTTCACAGGTAGTGGAGGCAACGATGGGCCTGGGGACGGAGATGACAATGACGATCCCCGAAAGAAGCGGGACGACAAGGAAGCCGAAGACAAAAATGCGGACAAGAAGGACAAGAAAGAAAAGAAGGAGAAGAAAGATAGAGATCGGGACTCGGGTAAATCCAAGGACACGACCCGCGGCAAGCGCGAAAGTCGTGAGAGTGTGGCGTCGCTCAATTTTCTCGGGGTAGTCGTAATTAGTTCCGATGATGCGGACAGGAGTGGCCAAACCCTGTCATGGTGGAACAATCGCAGGTTTGCTGGCGATGCTGAGCGCGCAGGGTTCAAGAAACACTTGGAAAGGAAAATCAGCGTGGCACTTGACGTCGGACTGCTGGCAGGCGCGACAAAAGTTTTGCAGATAAACCGCATGGAGTGGGCAGCAGCGGATACTACGTCGCCTGGTCTGTTAGGTCTTCTTGGCACGAAGCGGGAGAAAAAGGAGCGGGAAGACGTAATTACTTTTCATGTTACTGCCAAATATTAAACAAGTCGCCGAATTGTTTTCTTCTTCGACAAGAAAGCCGCAACAATCAAAACAGAGCGGATGACTTTTCCAATAATAGCTGGTGGGTAGAGGAGCGTAGCATTGCATGCGGATGATTTGCCAACAAAATTACCATTCTACACAGGTCGTGCTAGTCGCACGGAGTGACACCAGCCGGCGGCAGCAGGAGAGCCCTACCGGCGACGTCGTGCTTTCAGTCGCGTCGTGGAACATCGGGCATGGAGCACACGAGGTTTCGAAGCAACGACTGTTCCTGGCAGGGGCCTTGCTTCAGGTTCTTGCGACTGAAGTTGCAAGTCGTGACCCGAGTTCTGAACCGTATACCCCGGACGCGTTAGATTATATTGCCACCTCGCTCAAGGGGGTCCTGACTTGGGAGCCATCGCCACCGGGCGCCGACGACGATGTCATAGAGGATGGTAACGAACCTTGGGACTTCTTGCAGGAAATCTTGCGCAAAGACACGGCGGTTAGTGCGCTTAGAACCCAGCCTGGTTCCGACGCTCCGGAGCCAACGAGGCCGTTGCTGGATGCACCTGCATCGAAACAAAAGCTCTTCGGTCTTCGGTCTGAATTGGCACTGTCCCGTGCGGATGCGGAGTTCCGTTCAGTCTTCGGCCTCAAGGATTTTGTGAAACCGACGGCTGCCGTCGCGAACGACGAGAACGCGGCAACCGGTGCAAACTTGATCCGGGCTGGAGGCAGTGCGAATGTTCGCCCCTCGAGTGCGCGAGCACGTCGTGCGGCAGTTTCAGGTCGAAGCGGAAGCCGAGGTTCCCAAGTTCGCTCCCAGCGCGGCTCAGAGCGGTATCGAAGTAAGGATTTGGAGATATGGACCGACAGTCCCGTTGCCCCCACTCCCACAAGTCCCGCAGTACCGCGGCAAGGATGCCACCTTCACTTGGAGCTCAGCCTTGCACAAGAAGAAGACTCTCCGCCGGTACTTGCAATTGGCGACAGGGCGCGGCGGGCTGTCGGCGCTCTCGCACCGCCTTTGCCCGCGGCCCTCCGCAGACTATGGCAAAGCGAGGAGTCGCGACGCTGGTGGCAGAACACTCGGGACAGAACCGACGAACACTTTCCGGAAGTGCAGGATCGAGCGCAACGACTTGGCATCGCGCTCCGGGCGTACGCAATGATCCTCTCCAGGGTTGCCTTTGTGCTCTTCGGGGTATGGGTGGTCTTCGTTTCTCCGGACCAGAACGGTTTCTCCACCCCGGGACTGCTGGACCAGCCCATGGTGGCGATCTGTTTTAAAGGAATTTCGGGGCTGAGGAGTGACACTGCTGTAGAGAGGGAAGTCCATTCGTGGGCGAACACCTGCTGCACGCTTTCCGCTCGGGAGATGAAAACTTTGGCCGTGAAAGGAGGCCCATTCACTTTGTACCCCAACATGGAGACTCGGCCCTGGGAAAACCGGGAGTTGGAAGCGATTGAGGATGGTGAGGCGCCCCCGTGCGATGGGGTGCGAAGAGCCAAAATGTTTGACAGCTTGGAGCAATTGCGCACCGGATTTCAGGCGCACGAAAAAAAAACGCGGAACAGAATCTATCTCGCCAGAGATAAGGGCATCGAGCATGTCCTTGCCGCCGAAGCTATGAGAGACCTACAACTAGAGGCTGACCGCTTGAACAACGAACTCAAGAAAAACGCATCGTTGGAGGCCGAGTTAGTGGTTGACCGCTTGACCAACGAACTCAAAAAAAACATGTCGTTGGAGGCCGAAAGCTTGGACAACCAAACACGCGAGGTGGCCGCTCAGAGGGATGTTCTCCGACAGAAAGAGGGCGAGCTCCAGCAGAAAACGAGCGAGCTCCGACAGAAAACGGGCGAGCTTCAGCAGAAAGCGAGCGAGCTTCAGCAGAAAGCGGGCGTGCTCCGACAGAAAGAGACGCAGCTGCAGCGGGAACAGACGCAGCTGCAGCGGGAACAGACGCAGCTGCAGAAGAGAGAGACGCAACACCAGCAGAAAGAGCGCGAGTGGACAAGGGAAGTAGCAGAGCGGGACGGGAAGCTGAGGTCGTTGACAGCACACGCGACGGACCTCCAAGAAAAAGTCACGGGGCTCGAAGCTTTGCACGAAGAAAAGAAACAGCTCCTCGGTGCGGAAGGCACGTACGACGGCGTCGCGCCACTGATGAACCCCGCTGCGCCCTGCGCAGCAGTGCAGAATGGACCCGGGGAAAAGTACGTTTACCGAGCGGGGGAGTTCTGCGTCGGGTCCGGCGCCAATGGACGCCGCCTGGCCCTGTGCCCCAAGCCCGGAGACGAGGGTCTCGCCTGCGTCTTGCAACTGGAGTGCACCGACGACGGGAACGACCAAGGCGTGTGTTGGGACGGAATTTGGAAAATGGATACGCGCTTGTCAAACGGCTGCACGGAGATGTATGACCAGGCACTGTATCAAAATGAAATCCCACGACCCCCCTTACTCAACCGCAAGAGATCCGAGCCTAAGTTATTTTCTGAGCACGCAGACTGTTGTTTTTCATATTTCTCTTTGAGGCTTTCCACTCACCTTGAGAAGCGCGCGCGTCATTCATTTTCTCTTTGACTTTGTCATGCTTGGGCTTTTCGCTGAGTTCGAACGGGGCAGTGGAGGTGCGTCGATCAGGCCCCGCATGATCGTAGTTTCTAACTCGCGAGACAGAATATTGTAAGTTTTTTCCGCATCGTACAGATGATGATGATGCTAGTGTTAATTCTTTCTGCGGATTTTTGAGAGGGGGGTCGGTTTCACTTTCACACGCGGGGACAGATGTTTGCTGACTTCCACGCGAACGAGGGCAATACGCCCACGGCGTGTTCGAGGGGGCTCGGGCCCGCGCGGCAGCTCGACAGAAACAGCAAGCCGATCGCGAATAGTGTCGGTTTCCTCAAGTTCTTTGAACCCGAGGAGAGGTTACGCCGCGACTTGACCCGGAGGTTCCATACGGTGGTTTCCGACGTGTGGGACTGGGTCTCGCCCCGGATGAAGACCCTGAAGGCACAGTTCGCAGGGGTGGAGCTGCACCAGTCGGAAAGCGAGGGTCATCTTGGGGACGAGGAAGGCGACGCGGCTGTTTGCGAGGAGGTCGTGGTTTCCGCTGAAGACACAGCGGCAGCCTCCGATCGCGGAAAACCGTACTTCAAGTTGCACTCACGCACCGGGAAGAAGGCCAGCGGCAGGAGAACCCGCAAGGTAAAGAAGCATCATGGGAAAAGTAAGAGCAAAAAACAGAAGAAGCCGAAACAGGATAAGAAGTTCCAGCAGCAAGGAGCTGCACCACTTGAGAATAAAGCAGGTGAAGAAGCACCAGCAGCGTCGAAACCGGCAAGACGGACGAACGCGAAAAGTAGTAAACCTGCCTCAGCACCAGTTCAGAAGCCACATCAAGAACACAAATTTCGGAAGTAAGTAAATAAAACCGCCTATCACTGAAGGGCTGAAGCAGGTCCGGAAGGAAATTCACAAGACTGGCTGGGAAAAGGATTGTTTGTAAAAGATAATCAGGCTTTGAAGTGCGAGATGAAAATGAAGGCGAGCCTCGCTTTTGAGAAGACAATTGAGTAATTCCTTACTCGCCCCTAGCGCCGTGCTGAACCAATTTAGACAGTACTCAGAGGTCTCGTCCTTAGATTGGGACATTCGGCTTGAGTTGTTTGGAGTGGTTTGGACAAGTTAGTAGAGTACCGCCTTCATTATCATTATCCTTCATAACCTAGATCACATAATGTCGAATTTTTTATACTTTCTCCATGGAAGACCAAGAAGAAGACGAGAGGGGCATCTGCAACTTGGAAGATTTGTCACGATTGCATTGATTTCTTGCAAGTGATTCATGATTGTTTATTGAAATTTCCAAGGAGCGAGTATGCTACATTGAACTTTACGAAGCACGAAAATATAAGACCGGAACCAGTCCTGTGTCAGCTTTTGTGAGGCTGAGCAGAAAGACCTGAGACCGGAAGTTTTTTCTTTTACAGGCTGCAGTGACCTTATATCTTTGTAGTGTAGCGCTAGTAAAAGTAATAGTATTGGATTGCGGCGCAACAACTTTTAGACACCCACTCACAACCGCATCAAAGACGAATTTGCGCATATCGAGTTTTAGCAGTTTATTTCGAGGCCTGTGTTAAGATCAACAAATCCACACTAGATGTTTTGTAAGATAATTGCGTTACCATAAGAGTACGGTTTGAGCAACCTGGTGGTGAAGTCATAAAGAGTTTCTTTTTGGAAAAGTAAAAGCTGAGTAGGATGCAGGGAAGAGTATGTGTTGGGTAGAAGTACAACCAGGATGACTATTAGTTACAGCACGTCGAGTAAAGTAACATGAACGTCAAGGACACCAGTAACATTCACCAGTTTCAGTTTGGGACACCAAATAGCATTTGCCTCTTTGAAGTGTCAACGTAGGCCACAAGTTCAAAGGTTTGTATGATTTTGAAGGAAAACGAACATACAATAGCACGGGCCGCCATGGCGGAAAAAAAATCAAAGTACTCACATCTAACAAAAGACAAATCGCTGGCTGACCACGTACGCTGGTCTAGCTTCGATCGGAAACGCGAGAAATGTTTCGTTTGTGTGTTCAGCCCTGCAGCGGCATCCGTGCCTTTGTCGTAAAGTAAAAGTAGAAGCTCAACTAGGTGAATCCGTCATGGAAGCTTCTTTCGTTCTCGTTGTCGTCCAAAAGCACTGTGCTACTGCCACAAGATGTCATGATCCGGAGCGAAATAGTGATCGGTGAGGAACAAGAAAGGTGGATATCACCGTGGCGGATCAGGGTCTGAGTCAACAGATTCCGATTGGAGCACGGGGCTTAATGTTCTCTGCGCGGACACGGTTGTCAGAGCCGGCGGTTATTGGGATACAGGGGTCTGAGCATCGACCACGTGGGGCGGGACAAAAAAAATGGAGTTCTGTGGATGTAGATACTTTTCTCCTCCACCAATGTGCGAATGCTCCTGCGGCTATGATGCATTTTGAGTCTCGCCTTTTGTCCTGCTGTGTATCTTCTAGCTCGTCCTTGTCAACCTGATTCGCATTGGGAGCATTCGCGGAAATGGTCTTTTTGCCCCTCTGGCCATGGGTCGGCTGTGCTCTGACTCCTGCGGTGGGTACGAGCACCTCGTTCTGTATGTGCTGCTGCTGATATTCTCCGATACAATTGCCGGCGTACGGGATGTTATTCAGCTTGATTCTGGAGTCGAAAACGTTAAAAAACCTTCTAAAATGGACTTCGGGTCGGGAAAGCTGGATGGTATCCTGTCCTTTTGGCCTTTGCTGGAGGAAGCTGCGGCGTGGTTGCGGGGCTGGTGCCCGTGAGCAGTGCTGCACGTGCGGGAGGTTTAGGAGCTACGGAGGATGATTGTGGCGAGGTGTAGGTGAAGTAAGGTGTTTTTTTTTGAATGTCCGAGTTTCTCTTAGCTATGGTTTAGTGCAGTTAAAAGTCAAGCTTTCTTCTGCTTGCCTTTTTTTCCTTCCTTTTTCTCTCCCACCGGTCTGATCGATTAATTGTTAGATAGCGCGATCTCTCTATTAACTCCATCTCTCGCAACAGGATCTAAAATTCAACAAATTGACTCTACAACTTTCAGGCTATCTTGTCCAGGAGGCTACCAGGAGCTGTTGCTCCATTTTTCTGGATCTTTGTTAGACCGTACGTAACGCCTGGCTCGCATGCTATGATGGATTTTTTAACTTGAAGAGGGTATGAAATTTGTCTCAGAACTGCCATTTTTCTGCTACTTTAACAGCTCGCCTTGTCCCCTCCTAAACGTAGATTCTTGATTTGAATTATTTTACTTGCTAGTCGAAGTGCTTTTAAGTTTAACTTACTTTGTTTACAGTTGCTTCATGAGATCTTTTTTCCTAGGTTTACTACAGGTACTTTGGTTCTTAGCGCGTATAGTTATTGTTATGCCTGCTCTACAGTTTAGTTCTAACCGGTAGGTTTTTTGTTGCTATTTATTAAGCTTTTTTCCTTCTTTTCCATTGCCATTGCTATCTCGCCACTGCCATTGCTGACTTCGCGGCCATACCTTCGCAGGTGGTTCGCGCATTTTTTGAAACTTAGTATGCGTGGTCAAGATATAGCTCATGAATAGCTCCAGCTGCACTCTTAAAGTTCTGGAACGCCGCCCCGCAGCCAAGCCAAGCCAAACTTTCTGATTCTGATTCTAATGAGATTAGTAGATGCAGCGAAAGAAATGCCAAGCTACCAAAACTGGATGTAGAAGCGGACTCCATCGGAGTTCGAGCTATTGTGGTATTTAGATGGACCTTGGACTCGTTTGCACTCAAATAGGATCAAATAAGGGAAGCGATAGACTAAAATTTTTGATACGGCGACGGAGAGAGATGGAAATGCAAAAAGCGCAACTTACTTTAGAATTCATCAGGGTCTACAAACTAGACCAAAGTTTTTCTGACGAGAAGAAAAAGGACGGGTACGAAGATGGAAATGCAACTAGCGCTATTATCGTTATATCATTTCATCGTCCTTGCAAAGCTAAAGCTAATACGATACCCCGCTAGTGTTGGTGGATTTCATTCGCAACTTGATACTTCGATAATGGGGAGTCCAGCTTGTCGTGCTATCCTGGTATCTCATAGACACTCTTGTACTTTCTGCAGCGGCACCCGTGTATTTATGTTTCGCTATACAAATATGCTTATTGATGTATGAGTTGGCCGCCAAGTTGCCGAGGCAAGCACGCAAGCTATACAACATTTCAGAACCGCCTCGGGTTCTTGGTTGCGGCGGGCCCTTGGTGGCCCTACCAAGACACGCCCGCTGCATGCGCAGCGCGGCAAGGGGAGGCGGACAGCCCGTCCGATGGGCAGGCAGTCGCGCCTGCGCCAACATGCTCGCGCGCAGGCTTGGCTGGGCGCGCCGGCAAGTTGTTCAAGCTCCGCCAAAATTCAGAAGCGCCTCAGGTTCTTGGTTGTGCCACCTGTGGCGCAACCAGGAGGGAAGCAAGTGGCCGGCCCGCCAGGCGGGGCGGGGGGCGAGCGCTTCGGAGTTCGCCTGCTCGCGCGCGTTCGCCGGGGTGCCGCCAATTTGCCGAGGCTCTTCCTACAAGATTGCAGAACCGCCTCGGGTCCTTGGTTGCGGCCCTTGGCGGCTCCACCAAAACACGCCCGCCGCGTAGCGCGGCCAGGCCAGGCGGCCAGCCCGTCCGGTGGGCTGGCAGGTTTCTTTGCTTGGGCCAACCTGCTCCCTCGCGCGCTTGGGCGCGCCGGCAGGCTGTTGAAGCTCCGCAAAAATTCAGAAGCGGCTCGGATTCTTGGCTGTGGCCCCCTGTGGCGGAACCAAGAGAAAAAAAAGCGGCCGGCCCGCCAGGCGGGCCGGCGAATGTTTAGAAATTCGCCTGCTCGCGCGCGTCCGTACGTTGGGGCGCCGCCAAGTTGCCGAGGCAAGCTCGCAAGCTTTACGAAATTTCAGAACCGCCGCGGGCTCTTGGTTGTGGCGGGCCCTTGGCGGCCCTACCAAGACACGCCCGCTGCTTGCGCAGCGCGGCACGGGGAGGCGGGCAGCCCGTCCGATGGGCAGGCGTTCGCGCCTGCGCCAACATGCTCGCGCGTGCGCCTGGCTGGGCGCGCCGGCAAGTTGTTGAAGCAAGCTTGCTAGCCCTGCAAAAATTCAGAAGCGCCTCGGGTTCTTGGTTGTGCCCCCTGTGGCGCAACCAAGATACAAGCAAGCGGCCGGCCTGCCAGGCGGGGGGGCGAATGCTTGGGGGCCCTTCTGCTCGCGCGCGTTCGCTGGGGCGCCGCCAATTTGCCGACGCTAGCTCTGCAAAATTCTGGAGCCGCTTCGGGTTCTTGGTTGCGGCCCTTGGCGGCTCCACCAAAAAACGCCCGCCGCGTAGCGCGGCCAGGCCGGCGGCCAGCCCGCCCGCCGGGCGGGCTTCTTTGCTTGGGCCAACCTGCTCCCTCGCGCGCTTGGGCGCGCCGGCAAGCTGTTGAAGCTCCGCAAAAATTCCGAAGCGGCTCGGGTTCTTGGTTGTGGCCCCCTGTGGCGAAACCAAGAGAAAAGCAAGCGGCCGGCGCGCCAGGCGGGCCGGCGAGTGTGTGGATGTCTATGGGCTCGCCTGCTCGCGCGCGCCCGCGGGCTGGGGCGCCGCCAAGTTGCCGAAGCATGCTGGCAAGCGCTACAAAATTTCAGAACCGCCTCGGGTTCTTGGTTGCGGCGGGCCCTTGGCGGCCCTATCAAGACACGCCCGCTGCGCAGCGCGGCAAGGGGAGGCGGGCAGCCCGTCCGATGGGCAGGCAGTCGCGCCTGCGCCAACATGATGCTCGCGCGCGGGCGCGGCTGGGCGCGCCGGCAAGTTGTTGAGGCAGGCTATGCAAAAACTCAGAAGCCGAAGCGTGTGGGTCCTTGGTTGTGCCCCCTGCGGCGCAACCAAGAGAGAAGCAAGCGGCCGGCCCGCGAGGCGGGGGGGCGAATGCTTAGGGGTTCGCCTGCTCGCGCGCGTTCGCTGGGGCGCCGCCAATTTGCCGAAGCTCTCCAAAATTCCGAACCGCCTCGGGGTCTTGGTTGCGGCGGGCCCTTGGCGCCTCCACCAAAACACGCCCGCCGCGTAGCGCGGCCAGGCGGCCAGCCCGTGCGTCCGGTGGGTGTGCTTCTTTGCTTGGGCCAACCTGCTCCGTCGCGCGCTTGGGCGCGCCGGCAAGTTGTTGCAGCTTGCTCCGCAAAAATTCAGAAGTGGCTCGGATTCATGGTCGTGGCCCCCTGTGGCGAAACCAAGAGAAAAACAAGCGGCCGGCACGCCAGGCGGGCCGGCGAATGTTTATGAGTTCGCCTGCTCGCGCGTGTCCGCCGGGGCGCCGCCAAGTTTGTTGACGCAGCAAGCTGGCAAGCTCTACGAAATTTCACAACCGCCTCGGGTTCTTGGTTGCGGCGGGCCCTTGGCGGCCCTGTCAGCCAAGACACGCCCGCCGCGCAGCGCGGCAAGGGGAGGCGGACAGCGCGTCCGATGGGCAGGCAGTCGCGCCTGCGCCAACATGTTCGCGCCCGCGCGGGCATTGCGCGGCGCGCCGGCAAGTTGTTGAAGCTCTGCAAAAATTCAAAAGCGCCTCGGGTTCTTGGTTGCGCCCCCCGTGGCGCAACCAAAAGAGAAGCAAGCGGCCGGCCCGCCAGGCGGGGCGGGGGGCGATTGCTTAGGAGTTCGCCTGCTCGCGCGCGTTCTTTGGGGCGCCGCCAATTTGCCGAAGCCCCCGCTACAAAATTTTAGAACAGCCTCGGGCCCTTGGTTGCGGCCCTTGGCGGCCTCACCTAAACACGCCCGCCGCGTAGCGCGGCGAGGCGGCCAGCCCGTCCGGTGGGCAGGCTTCTTTGCTTGGAGCAATCTGCTCCCTCGCGCGCTTGGACGCGCCGGCAAGCTGTTGAAGCTCCGCAAAAATTCAGAAGCGGCTCGGATTCTTGGTTGCGGCCCCCTGGTTGCGAAACCAAAAGAAAAGCAAGCGGCCGGTCCGCCAGGCGGGCCCGCGAATGTTTATGAGTTCGCCTGCTCGCGCGCGTCCCTTGGGGCGTCGCCAAGTTGCCGAAGCAAGGAAGGAAGCTGGCAAGCACTACAAAACTTCAGAACCGCCCCGGGTTCTTGGTATGGTTGTGGCGGGCCCTTGGCGGCCCTACCGAGACACGCCCGCCGCGCAGCGCGGCAAGGGGAGGCGGACAGCCCGCCCGATGGGCAGGCAGTCGCGCCCGCGCCAACATGCCCGCGCGCGGGCGTGGCTGGGCGCGCCGGCAAGTTGTTGAAGCTCTGCAAAAATTCAGAAGCGGCCCGGGTTCTTGGTTGTGCCCCCTGTGGCGCAAACAAGAGAGGCAGGCGGCCGGCCCGCCAGGCGGGGGGGGCGAGTGCTCAGATGTTCGCCTGCTCGCCGCCAATTTGCCGAGGCTGGTTCTATAAAATCTTAGAACCGCCTCGGGTTCTTGGTTGCGGCCCTTGGCGGCTCCACCAAAACACGCCCGCCGCGTAGCGGGACGAGGCGGCCAGCCCGTCCGGTGGGAGGGCGGGCTTCTTTGTTTGGGCCAGCATGCTCCCGCGCGCGCTTGGGCGCGCCGGCAAGCTGTTGAAGCTCCGCAAAAATTCAGAAGCGGCTCGGATTCTTGGTTGTGGCTCCCTGTGGCGAAACCAAGAGAAGAGCAAGCGGCCGCCCCGCCAGGCGGGCCGGTGAGTGTTTATGAGTTCGCCTGCTCGCGCGCGTCCGTTGGTGCGCCGCCAAGTTGCCGAAGCAAGCTAGCAAGCTCTGCAAAATTTCAGAGCCGCCTCGTGTTCTAGGTTGTGGCGGGCCCTTGGCGGCCCTACCAAGACACGCCCGCCGCTAGCGCAGCGCGGCAAGGGGGCGCGGGCAGCCCGTCCGATGTGCAGGCAGTCGCGCCTGCGCCAACATGCTCGCGCGCGGGCATGGCTTGGCGCGCCGGCAAGTTGTTGAAGCTCTGCAAAAATTCAGAAGCGCCCCGGGTTCTTGGCTGTGCCCCCTGTGGCGCAACCAAGAGAGAAGCAAGCGGCCCAGCGTGTGCTTTGGATTTCTTGTATGCGTCACTTCTTCTTACAGCTTGCGCAACTGCAATATTTGGCCGCATTTACTGTGAGCATGGTACTTCGTAGACGAGAGCGCCGCCCAGTATGATAAAACTCGATCGCGAGCATGCAGCGCCGTATCGTCTATTGCAAGCACATAAAGTAAAAGAAAAACACTAAACCTGCAGGCTCTGGCTCCGGCACCAGTAGAACAATTCGACCAGAGGGTGAGTTTCCGGCAATCTGGGTATGCTTCCGTCACCGATGCATATCCCACGAAAAATGTGTTACAGTTGCACATTTGTTTGTCTTTGTTGTCAATTCAGCAACGCATACGCAAATCTGCACTGCATGAGAAAGAAAACTTACAAAAATAAAGAGATCATCAGGTTGTAAACCACGCATGAAAAAAGGCTCCTATGCACACCCTGCATGTCAGAGGTGGTCTGTGTTGCGTGTTTTGCAACACCGTGTGTAACAACTGCAGCGCTTTTTTCGTTGGATAATGGAGCTTCGGCATCCAGTACGGCGGCATCCTCGCCCAGGGGACCGGAGTCCCAGCCTCCGAGCCACGAAATTGAGGAGATGGCTGCATGGCTGAAAGACGTGCGCGACAAGAAGAAGGCGCAACGCTCCCTGTAGAACTTGCGTTTCTTTTGTCCCGCACGTCCTACTTCAGCCCTGCAGTAGTTACTAGAACTCACTTTTTCAGTTTCCTTCTTTTTTCGTTTCCTTCTTCTTCTACGCTCAGAAGAGACGAGCCGATGCCGAGCACATTCCTGTGCTAGGTTTTTATCGAAGTGCTTACTCATGAGATACGGAAAAGTCAAACGAATTACGAACATAATTTTTTAGCCAAGTCCTTTATGTTATTGTCTGAGCAGGAAGCCGAGGACTCGTCCGTGGCCTGCTTACGGCTGTCCAATATTGAGTGAGAATGACAGCCCCAGAACTTAACTCTCCGAGCTTTTTTCTCTTTTGATTCTTAGCTACACAGGAATGAAACAATCAATGGACTAGAAGTAATGCATCAACGAGCTGAAATAAAAATAATGATTTTGAGGCTGAAGGCCTAAAACTACCCTCGTATAGTGCTATATTTCAATCGGAGATTGATTGCGCCAGTGCACTGATCGACGTTTCTGATGACCTTTGTTATTTGAAGTTTTGGTCTCGTCTTGTGGACAATGTCCTTACTATTGGTATTGAGCTGGTTACAGTTCCACAGACGAGGAACGGAAGATAAGTTTCTAACGAACAAAACTTACCAGGCGCTCTGACCAAAATCAACTGAGTTTGAAGCTCAGCAGCAGTACAATTTTGCAGCAAAGTATTCTTCTAAATCCTTGAGAAGCAAAAGAAGCGAGCTTTTTTCTGTCATGAGTATGCAGTTTATTCTGCGAGCAATTTTATTTGCAAGGCGTGCGGACGTTAGGTGGCTTTTCGGCAACCTATGTGTGATGGCTTCTGTTCCATGACTAAAGATAAGTTTCATACTACGTAGCGTCTAGGAGCTTGATCAAATTGATCGACGTGAGTGATCGCGAAGCCTTTACGCAACGCCGAGAGCGAGTCGAGATCGCGTGCGGATTCATGATTTTGCTGGTGCTCTGCCACCTTGGGGGTCTGTATAAGTATGAAAGTTTGTGCTCGTCCTTGGAAGGAGAAGCGAGGAGGTGTGTCTATTTCGGCTTGTCTTGAACTACGAGATCGCATACAGCTCATCCTTAAGTTGAGTCTTCACCACGGTGACAGCTACTGAGTAGAAACTGTCCACATGCACTAGTAGGCACCTTCACCTAGGGAAGCCGATTAGTGGAGCCATATCTTCTCTTTTGTTCTCGTGCCACAGGAAAGCTAGTCTACGAAAAGTACAGTGGTCGCATTGAGCTTCTGCGAAAACTCCGCATACAGATAATACTGCGGAATCAAAAGAATGGGACTCCTATTCTCCTCCAGCTACGAACCGCCGCCGGGTTTCGTTCTCGTGAAGAGTGAAAGTTTATCGATCAGTAAGCGCAGCTGCCTGCTTACAATGTCGGCACTCGAATGCGACGTCTTTTGTCATGCACAAGAAAACATGGTCGTTGAGTGATCAGATCTGTGTCATTGAAAAGCGCGCACACACACACAGTGCAGATCGATGTCTGGTGCGCTTTGAATCTGAGAAGTGACAAAGTAGCAACGTGGTTACCCATGTCGTGAGTATTGCAATATAGCAAGGGGACGTTGCGCACCGCTGGCATACGAAATCCATTTGGAGTCCGACTACATTCTCATGGAGAAGTCGGGGCCTATATCACTTTCAAACCGGTTTCTGCCTCCGGTGTCAAGACGATTTTTTTTTTCGAGGCTTTATGTCATGAGCACTTCATTACAGATTTTTTGCTGCGGCTCCGCGTATGCTGGCTACGTAATTGCGCCACTGTCGTCTCCTCACGTTTTTTGCCCGGAAAAACTAAGTCTTCCAGCGGACAAGGAAACCGCTTTGACTGTCAATAGCGGGAAAAAATGACTGCTGCAATGGAGGATCGTGCGAAGACCTACACAGAGCATCTGAGACGGGGTGAGGAGGTACAGAAGATCTTTTCTGTGGTGGATTTGTGTGTGTAAGTGAGAAATGTGGAGGCAGCTTGTGCGAGATGAAGTCCATTTTCTTTACATTCCATACAGAAAAGTCACGACAATTGCAAATAAATTGACTCAGGTTGTCGAGGCAATCTATGCTGCACAGAAGCAGGTGAAGCAAGAACGGAAATCCCTGCGGTCTGAAGCGGACTCCTGTTTTGCGCGGCTCCGGAATGAGGAAGCCCGTATTTGTGCGCGCCTGGTGGCGGAGGGACACGCGATCCGGAGGGAGATGCTCTCGGCCTCAAAGAGTGCCGCGTAGATCACCCATGCGACGTGACGCAGAACCGATTTTCTCCTCGACTTCGGCTTTGTTTGAAGTGCGTCTCTACTTTCACTTTACTACCTACTTATCTCCCTATCTCGAAAGCTGGCTTTATTTCAAGTATTTCCCTATGTATCTCCAGAACCAGTTTACAATGTAAAGACCACATCTAGCTGCAATTGACTGAGTTAGTTTCACAAGTGTAGAAGTATTTTCATCTTGTTCCTACTTACGCAAGGGCAAACGAAGCTATCCTCGAATAAAACGTAGAGAAGCCATATCCACAAGGTCCAGCTCATTTTTGGTTTGGCTTCCTTGTTCGTCCCGATCGAAGATTATGACAATTTCAAGTAATGAAGGAACAGCTTGGCATCTCTCCCTTCTGTCATCTTCAGACCCTCAGCTGTACAATGTGAGCCTGCCATTGCACAAACAATGAGGCTAGTGAAATCCGATTAGGCTAGAAATTTCCCAAAAGAGCGCTTCACATCAGCGCCGAAAATCAACTTCGCAGATTTTCAATTTCAGTTATTCCGTTGTCGCGCCCAGAGGACGTGTAGTGAACGGCAAAGGCTTCTTCCCGTGTGGTTCGATAGAGAATGGCACACGCAGCGAAACAAGAGCCCTTGATCATACGCGGGCTTAATATTAGGAGTAGTGTTTTCGGTCGCTCCCTGTCCCTTCCAGGTAAAGTAGATAGATTACCCAGGAAGGGGCTAAATCGAGTAAAGCTAAGAGACAACTTTTGCACTACTTGCGACCAAGGATTCATGGGAACGAACGCTTTTTCTGCGTCGCTTTAGCGGCCTGCTGGGATGAGAGATAGAGGGAGAGAGGTGCTAGAGCACATAGATCAAATGAAGGCGCGAAGGAGTACGGACCTTTGGGTGAAAACCTCATGGTCAGTTACTCATCATCAAACTACTGGGCCGTATTTTTTTCTTGAGTTGCCTTGCGGACTGGCTGCTGGAAAAGAAACTTTTGAATTGAAGAGTTTCGATGTTTCCTTGCTTCCTCATCTCCAGCACAAAGTCTAGTAGCTTTGCCCCTGCCGTGCATGCGATAGGAGCATTAAACTACTTTGCGTAAAAATGTAGTAACACTAGTGCAGACATTGCTGTCGTTCTTTTTACTCTAGCACCAACTGAGCAGATCGGTACAGGAAATGACTAGACATCTGTGTTTTTTTTTGTTGTGCTGGTGCAAGAACAATCTTCGGCCACTCTTTCTTTGTTCCTGCAATACAAGTTTTCTTTTTCGTTTTTGGCGGAAGCATACGAATTCCCTTTTTCTTGATGTCGAGGCTCCTTTTCTTCATTTCGTTCATTGCAATGAAGCACATTTGGAACAAAGATAGAGTAGTGGAGGCACGCCTGTTGGCAAATATTATTGGGATGTAGAAGCGAGAGCGACGAGATAAAGATATGCGCAAATAAATCACACAGAAGCACCTCTTCCAATTTGCACCTTTTCGGCACACATAAAAGTCGCTCACTTATTCGCTTTTTGTCCAGAGGACCAGATCACAAATCACTTGCAAAAAACGGCAAAGCACAGCGAAAGTGTCGAGCTCCAACCCGGCAGGTGAGATTGAGCCTACAGCCTCGCGCGCCACCTCTGTCGCAAGTGCTGCGGAGGCGCCTGCAACTTTCGAACTGAAGGTCCTGGACTTGCGTGGGGAGCAGCTATGTCTCGAACCGCGCTCGTGGATCGCTGCAACAACTACGAAGAAGCAAGTAAAGCAGGCCATTGCAAAAGCTTGGCTGCTCTCCGAACGCAATACGGAAAAGAAGCGTAGCTGTTTTTGGGGGCGCGTTGCCGTCTTCCCCACGGGCGCTGAAACGGCTCAGCAGTGCAGCGTAGGAAGTCTCGACGTAGTGCAGGACGAGGAAAACTTCGCCGATTGGTGGCAGGGCCTGCAGGAGGAGGACAACGAAGAGCAGACGACAAAACCATCCCTCACATTCTTCATACGCTACGCCAAAACCTTCGAGAGCCGCGAGGAACTAAAGGCTGCGCTCCGTCCTTATTTGAAGAAAGGAAACGGCGACGGAACCCGAACTGCGGCGCAACAGGCGAAAATTGAAGAAGACGAACAAGTCTACGGAAAGATTATTACGTGGGACGTAAGTGGTGTGAAAAATTTGCGGGGTTTGTTTCAATTTCACTCCGATTTTAATCTTGACATCCGCGGCTGGGACGTTTCCGGTGCGGAATGTATGAGAGATATGTTCAACTACGCGAGCCGATTCAACCAGCCGGTAGAGGATTGGGATGTTGGCAACGTGGAAGACATGACCAGAATGTTCTGCGGTGCGGAGGATTTCAACCAGCCCCTCGCCTCTTGGAACGTCAGAAACGTGAAAGACATGGCGGAGATGTTCGACGGCGCGCGGAATTTCAACGAGCCCCTCGCCTCTTGGAACGTCAGCAACGCGCGCAACATGAAGGCGATGTTCTATGATGCAGAGAATTTCAACCAGCCCCTCGCCTCTTGGAACGTCAGCAACGTGGAAAACATGCGGTGGATGTTCGGGGTCGCGCTAACGTTCAGCCAGCCGCTCGCATCTTGGGACGTCAGCAACGTGAAAGACATGGCGGGGATGTTCGAGGGCGCGCGGAATTTCAACGAGCCCCTCGCCTCTTGGAACGTCAGCAACGCGCGCAGCATGGAGGCGATGTTCTATGATGCAGAGAATTTCAACCAGCCCCTCGCCTCTTGGAACGTCAGCAACGTGCGCAACATGAGGTCGATGCTCAGTGGTGCACTGTATTTCAACCAGCCCCTCGCCTCTTGGAACGTCAGCAACGTGCGCAGCATGAGGATGATGTTCACGCGTGCACTGAATTTCAACCAGCCCCTCGCCTCTTGGAACGTCAGCAACGTGGAAGACATGGCGGGCATGTTTTCGCACGCGCAAATGTTCAGCCAGCCACTTGCATCTTGGAACGTCAGCAACGTGCGCAGCATGGAGTGGATGTTCGAAAATGCCACAGAGTTCAGCTATCCGCTGGACAGCTGGCAGGTGCAGGTGGGTACCAATCTAGACGGCATCACTTGCGGCGCCTCCTCCTACACACACGGGCTGCCGCAGCGGGCCCTTGACGATGCTGACAACATCATCGCCGAGGCAGTGCAAGTGGATTTTTCGGATAGCGATTTCGAAGCCGAGGACGAGGGCACCAGCGAAAGCGACAGCAATTCAGGTATGTCTGAGCTTTGGTTGCTCTGCTTCATCATGCCTCCAGAGCCAAAATCTAATGAAGGCTTGCAATCAGTAGTTTCTTTTCTCTGCAGATATCATTTCGATGAAATTTTCGCACGTAGTCATGTCGACGGCGATGAAGAGGAGGAAGATGCCGAATCCCACTCAGATTCCGACGGGCTGCAGGAAGATGCTGGACTTGAGTAGGATTCCAATCGCGAGGAACAAAACAGAGTCAGGATTTCACACGTGGGCCTTCTTGTCACAGCAAACGTTCAGAATGGCCGCTCTATTTGATAGGAGGGCACCAAGAGGGCGTCTTGCGTTGAAGCAAGCAGGTATCTTCCTAGGCTTGCTAGACTTGATGCCAAGTGCAGCTTTCGAACGTGGCACCAGTATGCTTTCGTCATTTTTCTGTGCGCGAAACCGAAATAGTATGCCAATCCCGATGGTCAAATATTAAATAAAACAGGTGTCATCAACTACTTACTACATCTATTTTCTTCTTTCCCTATTTCTAGTGGACCACGGGCGCGTTGGAAGTTAAATCCGCGAGTTCCTGTGTATTTGGAAGTGACCGATCGAGACGCCGAGACCTTCCCTTGCAAACTACACAGTTTCTAGCAAAACGCCATCGCCGCACTCCGAATGATCAAGGTATACTATCGCCATGCAGTTGATATCCTTTAGCGTTGGCGGGCAAATGCAAATCCGCATGACCAGTCAACGGCCACGATTTAGATCAATTGTAGATTTTTAGGCAATACAACTTGGCTGCTTGTTGTTCAATTAGCGTATCGTCTCTATCTGTAAATAAACTCTAACTACAGGCACGAGAGCAGAGGCGTTTTTATGCAGCAGGTGCAGTATCTTGGAGATCGTGAGCGACGAATTGATTGAGAAGCATCATCAAGTAATGTACGACGAGCATTCCGGAAAATCTAAATCGCACCCGCTCTAAAGTTTGAATTAAAAGAATGCGCGATGTCATATTACATACATAAGTTTAAGTAGTCGTACATAAAATGGAATATATAGAAGTGGAGAGATACCGAATCGCTCGAGGCCGTCGAGACCGAATGGCTGCACAGCAACAAAGTTTCGTAGTGTAAATGCATACCGCGGTATCCAACAATCTGCACTCTACAGCCAACAAATGCATTGTCGCAGCATGGCGCCACTATCAGAGCGTGATCGACCACTCACGGCCTTGCGTACATTGCAACAGCATCCTCGCACAAGAATAGTGCTCTGTGGTCATATCGCTGCCTATAAAGTCAAACAAGAGATACGACATTTTTACCATCATGAGTTTCTCCTTCTCCACCTCCTCCTGTACAAGTCTTTTGTTTCGAAGTAGCATCAAAGTTCCAGACCAGACATATTCTACATAAAAGCAGTATTTATGTATTTTGCACAGAACTGAAGTGAGTGTGTTGTGTGGCTTCAAGAGAGACGCTCTGTGCGAGAGTTTCACAGTGTTCACGCGTCACAGGCATCGGAGGAGATGATCTCTTCTGAAGTTGATCCAGTGCTCGATACCCCTGAAAATAACTTCGCTGTCATCTGCAATTGCTTCGCATCATCAAAGATCCATCGGGCAGGGAATAAAGGAGAACTCCCTCCGGGAAAGGTAGCCTCAACTTTGGATAGCCACGGCGCAAGCTGCAGCTGTCCGCGCCGAGATCAGGATCATCGATTTTGATGCTGTCAGTCATAGGTTGCTCCAGGTAATCAAAGCCGCTCTCCGACGCCATTTAATACCGAACGAACGAGACAAAATTGCAAAAGAGAGGCAGTTTTGTTGCGGTCAGTGACCAAGTATCGAGTCACGGGAGCACGCACGTTGATCGTGTGATCAGTAGGCGACGCACACGCAAAAGAAGATCTCGTCTGCATAAGCGAGCCAACATTCGATATATAATTATCTTTGGACTTCTAGTATTTCGCCGAGAACTAAAGTAAATGGTG